ACAGCATGAAGGGACATATGAATGTTTAGCATATCTGGCATGTAAATACCTTGCAATGCCGGCTACAAATGTTCCATGCAAATGCCTGTTCTCACTTTTTTGGTGACATTGCAAATAAGAAGACGGCAGCATTATCTCCTGTAAATGTAAACAAACTTTTTTTGTCTTAGCAATTGGCTGAACAAGAAGTAGGACTGATTGATCTTGTAGGCTCTAAAGTTTTATGTTGGGGTGTTGTTGTTTTTTGAGTGCAGTTATTTAACAAAAAAAATTGACATTTGTAAGTTGCACTTTCATGACAAGGAGATTGCACTACAGTACTTGTATGAGGTGAAAGGAAAAATACTATTTCTTTTGTTTATCATTTTTACAGTGCAAATATTTGTAATCAAAAATAATGTACACTTTGATTTCAATTACAACACAGAATACAATATGTGAAAATGTGGAAAAACATCCAAAATATTTAATAAATTTAAATTGGTATTCTATTGTTTAACAGTGTAATTAAAACTGCGATTAATCATGATTAATTTTTTTGAGTTAATCACATGAGTTAACTGTGATTAATTGACAGCCCTAGGTTAAACAGTTCACTTTTTAAATGGTATTTACATCTCTAGTGTTACGTGGGGTCAGCATGGGCCACACCCCAGCCCTCTCAGAACTAGGGTTCATAATAGAGTTTCCTATGTTTCCACTGAATGCTTGGCTGGATGTTTATTTAATGTTTGCAAAGAACTCTGAAGTCTTTTGGGATAAAAGGTCCTGTAAACATGCCAAGTGTTATTACAGCTTTACAAAACCGATGAAAATTTATCAGCTCATGCTGTCACGGAGTCCCCGGGCGATGCTTTGGAACTGCTCCCCACAAAAGCCAGTCAGGACTTTGGGGCGTCTCCTCTCCCATGGAGCAGACTGTCTTTAGGGCATGAAGCTTTCTGGGTCTGCCCTTGGAGCATTCCGCATATGCCTCTCCGTGCGCTTCCCACAGCGAGTTCGCCCAGGCGGGGTCCTGGGGAAGCCAGAGGGTCCTGCATGCAGCCCCACTTTGCAGTTAGACATGACTCTCAGCCAGTCAGTAAAACAGAGGTTTATTAGATGACAGGAACACGGTCTAAAACAGAGCTTGTAGGTCCAGAGAACCGGATCCCTCAGCTGGGTCCATTCTGGAGTCCCGCGAGCCAGACACCCCCATCTGCCCTCACCTCCCGTCCCCAACCAGCTCCAAACTGAACCCCCCTCCAGCCCCTTCTTCTCTGCTGAGTTCCTTTCCTGGGCCAGGAGGTTACCTGACCTCTTTGTTCTCCCACACCTTTAGCATCCCCTTGCAGGGAGGAAGGGCCTGGCCATTAGTTGCTAGGCAACAGAGTGTTGGTCAGAAACTGAGGCACCCACACAGTATTTAGAGGAAACATTAAGAACAGTTCCACTTCATCACACATGCGCAGGCTTTACTCCTCCACCTCTCACTACGGGATCAATTGTTGCTTTACTACAAGCCCCATGTGGCACAGTTTGCATTGTTGCCCTGCCCCGGGGGCAGATCGGGAACCAGATTGTTACTCAGGACTTGTTTAAATGTGGAAGTTATATCAATATAAACCAAGGGGTGAATTTAAACCAAGATAGTTATTCCAATGGAATTCCCTATGTGGACACACATTCCAGTATAAGAATAGTTGTTTTTTCCCCCCAGTTTATTTTATATTGCTTTGGAATAGCTAACCTGAAAACAGCCACATGGGAGTTATATTGGTTTAACTATAGCAGTATAATTATACTGGTTTAACTGGTAGAACTATCCTGTTTAGGCCAGTCTCAAAGTCACAATTTGCCTCCTAGGTTTCCCCTGCTCTGGGGCAGACATACCCTGTAACAGCCATAATCCTAGTGCAGCACGTATCTCCAAGGCAGCTGCACACATGGAGGCCTCCAGGGGTGGAATCAAGGCTCCACCTACTCCCAGCCCAGATGCGTGGGAGGCTGCAGTGGCCCTGTGGATGCTGCTGTCCTTCAGTGCTTGTGCAGAAGAGTATAGGGCGTTTCCAGGGCCGGCTCCAGGGTTTTGGCCGCCCCAAGCAGCCACAAAAAAAAAAGCCGCGATCACAATCGCGATCTGCGGCGGCAATTCGGCGGGAGATCTTTGCTCCCAGCGGGAGCGAGGGACCGTCCGCCGAATTGCCGCCGAATACCTGGACGTGCCGCCCCTCTCCGGAGCGGCCGCCCCAAGCACCTGCTTGCCAGGCTGGTGCCTGGAGCTGGCCCTGGGCGTTTCACATTCTCTTACTCTCCTGCACAGGTGTGTGGGACATTCAGGCTCTATGATGGCTGCTGGGGCAATCACAAAGCAAATCTTGTCACGAGAGATGCTACTTGCTCACGCCTAGTAATATTTTGCAAGTCTGTATTCATCGTCGCTGTCACTCTTACATTTTAAGATTTACACAGCATCTCTGGCTTTCCTAGCACACACCTACAAGACGATGGAGCCAGAGACTGAGCGCACCATGGAGTTTTACAGCGAGACGCGAGTAGATGGCCTTCAGAAACGGGTTGAAAATGCCAAAGAGATGACGGAATATTTTGAAGGGCGGTCAGATTTCCTGCACTACCGGCACACAATGTTTGGCAAAAGAACAAAAAGAGCACAGAAGCTCCTCGTTAATACTGAATCGAACGCCCGGCCCATACTGGTACAAGAAGAGGGAAATATTGGACATTACCGATATTAGAGCTGTGCAGAACATACCAATTTCAGTTTTGTGTGAAGATTCAGATTCATTTTCACTTGGCATAGCCAAGGCAAAACTCCAAACAAGAGAAGGGAGCCTTGCATATGGGCTAGTCTGACCCAGAAACCCCACCATGTGACCAATTGTCATGAGCAACTCCAATTGACCAATTCCATTGAGTAACCGAAATGAAATTAAGTCTTCTAAAATCTGTGCCAGACAAAAGATTTAGCTATGAGTTTGGACAAAAAATGTTCACAAGGACCCCCAAAATACTCCACTGGTCTTGTTTCCATGTTCAAGCCCCACACTAGCCAGGTTTGGGGTTTCATTGTGAAATGTGCCCATAGCTCTGCATAATGACACAAGCACTCTGATTTGCACCATGTCATTAGCAGGGAGTCATATAAGCCCTAATTCAGGAAAGCATCCCAATCCATTGAAGGATATTAAGCAGCTACTTAAAGTTAAGCATGTGCTTCAGTGCTTTCTTGCATTAGAGCCATAATAATGACCCTCTCCAAAATAGCTAGTACTGCTTATCACAGTAAGACCTCGAAACCAACCCTTGCTGTTAGGTCCATGGTCCTACCTTGTTTCCCTTGTGCAGAGAGCTTGTAAGATGGAGATGCATGAGATCCCCTCCAGTGCACCCTCTCCCCCACTTGGCATTCCATGACCTAGTCCTTCCATCCTCTGCTGAAGTCAGCTCTTTCAGTTGGGGTGAACCCTGTGTTCCCCATACTGAGCCCCGATCTCCCTGCCGGTCCTCAAAACCAAATCTGATAATGGGGGGGAGCGGGCACACCCACATCTGACCCCCTGAAGCCTGGGTCACACATCCCACCTGTTAATATAGGGCCAGAGCATGTTTGGTTCTTGGACAGGTGCTCAAACGGGGAGGTTGCATCCTTTTTCCCCCTGCATGTGGGGAGCTCTGGGAGGCACTGGGTCTCTCCAAGGCATAATGCCTCATGGAGCGGATGGTGCAACTCTGGTCTTGTGCTTGAGGGGTGTAATCTACTCCCATAAGCAGCAACTCTGCTTGTTGCACTGAGCAGCTCTGACTTTGCTCCTTCTCCGTGACACTGCAGTCACAGGCGAGAACAGTAGGACCCTGGTCCTAGCATTGAGTGATGGCATCACAGTCCTAGTCTGGACATAGTTACTTCTTCCAAAATCTTTATCATGTTATAGACCTTGGAGTTGCAATGGGCCTAATTTTCACCTGGGAGCTCTGTTTCCCACCTGTTTCTTCTCAAATCCCCCCAAACCTTGTCATTTTTCTAGGCCTTATGTTTGATTCTGACCGGTTTATATCTCTTTTCCCGATCCTCCCTAGCAAATCAAGGAGCAGTTCCATAGGAACCCAGAAAAGCCCGCTGATGAAGATGTAGCAGAGCGCATCTTTATGATCTTGGAGGAGCGGATTATGCTGACGTATCATTGCAAGGACGATTACATCACTGCCTCAAAGAAGGAGTTCATCAAACGGAAGGATGTGGATAATAAGGGAAACAAGATCATCATGACCTCAGACATGTGCATCAGCTATCGGGTACGGAGAGAGTATGACAATGATTTGGAGTTTTTCAGCTCAAAAGGACACAAAGAGAAGCTGGAGGACTAATTGAGATTTGGGGAGACCCAATTTCTGTAGTTCTGAGGCTCAAAGCTGGCTGTTCATGAAGGGAAAGCTGAAATCTCTCTGCATTTCTCTCTCAGGGGAGCGATTAAAGCAGGGGACAAGAAGTCAGGAATACCCACCTGGGTTCTAGCTCCATTTCTGCCATGGAGTTGCTGTGCGATCTTGCCATCGGTCCTAAACTCTCCATCCATTAGTTTGCCCAAGTTTAGGGTTTTTTCTGCAATCTGAATGCTTTTTAAAACGGTTGTAATTTTTTGTCACGTTGAAAAGAGCATGCAGACTGTAACGGAGAGGCTGCTGCCCTGTGACCTCAAGTGTGCAGAAAACTGGTTCTAGCCACACAGCAACAGCAAAGAGGTGAACAATACACTTTCTGGCTCGGTGAAGTGTTAGATTCAAAACCTAGATGGAGCTAAATTAACTGTTAACCGTGGGCCAGATTCTCAGATGGCGTAAATCAATATAGCTCTATTGAAATCAGTGGAACTATGCCAATTTATACCAGCTAAGGATTTGGTCCCACATGTCTGGAAGACCCTGCCATCCAACACCGGTGTTTTTGTCTTTAGGTGGGGTCTTTTGTGAAAAACAAGAAGCTGCTGCATCTGTACGAAATGATGCTGAAGCTAATGGAAGCAGAAAAGCAGTCGAGGCATCTAGTCTGGGAGTCTGAAACAGAGGTGATGGGGGAAATCTCCTTGCTAATGTCAAAGTATGATAAGAGTCTGGAGCCAGGTTCAACTAACCATCTCTTCATGTCATGCCATATGTTCAAATATTATCCAGTAACTAAACAGTGATCAAAGTTCTAATGCTGGTCCCCACCCCAGAATATACAAATCATGACTTGCTTTCGTTCTGTGGAGATCATTCTTTGGAATGTTTATGAAAAGTCATCCTCAGTTCTTGTTTCACAGTCTAGGGGAAGGGGATAATCTAAGAGCAAAGATCTGCAACAGGAAGGGTACGTACTGGGATATCTAGCAGAAAGGGTACATATTGGGATATCTGCTGACCAGAGCCGGGAAGAAGAGGAAGCCCAAGAAGTTGTATTGATTAAAATCTAGTTGCTAGCTAAGCACTTCTAAGGTTCCAATGGCCATAGTATCTAGGTGACTACCACTGTGTTATCTGTAGGGAAGAATTACTTTAAAATAGATGGATTGCAATGAGTAACACATTGCAACCGCATAGAGCAAAACCCATTCCCATGGCACTGATTGGAGAGGATTGACTGAGCACAGCCATTCCAGCATGTGAAGAGAAGGCCACTGGATCTGAAGGTGAAAAGCTGCTTTGATGAAAGCCCTATAGGAGTTGGTTAGGGAATGAAGAGGATTGTGGAGCCAGTCTGGTGGCAAAGTAGAGGGCCACCAAAATACTAGGGTAAAATCCTTGGATTATGGGTCTATAATTCCATCAACGGGTTTTGGACACCCATCTTTCACTCCCACGGTTCATAATGTCACCAGAATACCTCAATGAAACTATAACCCCATTGTTCACATTTTACACATTGTTTATTCTATATATAACACAAACAGATTTTTTCTTAGGATTGCAGTGGTATTACCATATTTTGTAGAACAAGAGGAAATAGGAGAGGAGGAAACAGTGAGGGAGAACAGGAGAGGCAGTAAGTCTAGTGGTTAGACTGGGAATCAAGATATCTGAGTTCTAATACCAGCTCTTCCAATGACGTGCTGTGTATCCTTGAACAAGTCATTTAAGACCCTAGTGCCTCAGTTTCCCTATCTTTAAAAGATGAGGCTTCTTTAATTAAATATTTGTAAAGGGGCTTAAGACCCTTGGATAATAGATGCTGTGAAAATGCAAGGTATTAACAGTACTTATTAAGACGAAATGGATTGTAGAAGTACATATTGCAGAACAGTGAAGGGCATAAAGTGGTTTCC